TCAACCACGGGTGCAGGATGTTGCAACTCGGAAAACTTAACACTTTATACGGTTGGAATAATGATTCGTCCATACCTGAAATCTTTGAAAAAGTAGAAAATCTAAATGGGAGTAATCAAATTTAGCTTGTTGACTTATGAAAATCGATCACAAACTGATTGCTTAGGTTAGGTTAGGCTTATGTTATGTTAAGTTAGGTTATATTATGGGTTATATTATGTATGTTATATTGTAGTACATTTCTTGGCTAGTACAGTACTGTTTGTCTAACCTAATATACAATTGAAAATTTTTACTTGCACTTAGTAGCTAATACTGCCAGTTTTGGTGAACATTATATTAGGTAGTGCAGTGTATTGCAAAAAAATCCGACCCGATTCGTGGAAAATTACTAACAGCGTATAAGTATTAGAACTTAGGTAAACTTGACAAACTTTATGAATTTCGAATCTACACATTTCAAATTAAATTGAACAAAGTCATACGAAAATGAAAATGCCATGAAATTCGTAGTTGTATTATTATTTTAAAAAAATGGTGTTTATATTGCAAAATTAAGTAAAGTAGAATTATCCAGGATATTTTGAAGGTATCTAGAATATATTTTTCGATATGTTACGTATCACAAAATATTAAATTTGGCCTTAACATCATCCACTTGTACTTAAAATTGTAATTTTTCAGAATCTCATGCTTCTTTTCTTCTCTTACGTTTTAGAGTCAATTCTGCAGCAAAACGCAAAACTTCGTGCCAATCTATGCCGCCCATTTGGTTGCACCTTCTCCGATTAAATAAATTTCACGCAAAACTTATGACGTTTGTTGAGCAAATATTTGCTAGGCTTCAATGTTTTTGAAATTTATCAAGTTTAATGTCTATTCGAGGCCCAGTTTCACTGAGCTGTTTAAGATAAAGACAAAAACTGCAATTTTTGACGACGGGAAATCTAACGACGAATTTTAACGAACACAATTTTTTCAAGTTAAATAATTGACTTTGATTGGTAACAATTTCATGGTAAAATTGCAAACAGTAAACCTTGTTAATATGATAATTTCACATTTTTGTTTATGAAATCGTAATGTTTCTGTGTGTTATATTTCGATGTTAAACTTGTTTCGTTCTACACATCTTTAAAGATAAATAAAGTGCAGTTTTTACATTTTCTTGAAGTCTTAGCTAGTCATTAGCGCCGTGCGAGTAATTTGCAATATTTAGATAATTATGAAATATTTGGAGGTAAAATAGCCGTCGAGGGCAAATGATTAAGATTTACGTGAAAGGTAAAATTTTTGATAAATTAAAATTAAATAATATTTTGTTCCGATTAAGATTTCATATTTAATAATACAATGTGAAATTAATTGGTTTCACCTTTATAAAAGTGAATCAAACATTAAAATAATATTATAAATATTATTATTAAATTGTTACCCATCGAAGTCTATAATTGGATTTGGGAAGTTAAGCGCTTTAAATAATTGGATTTGGGAAGTTAAGCGCTTTAAAAATTGTATTCAGGTGAACACTTCTTGTTTTGAATTTTTGGAAATGCATTAGAATTTATCTTTTTAATGTCCGTCGGTATTACTAAATTTTTAGTGGATAAAAATTACACCTTAAATGAAGTCTATCCACGCATTGACTTCCACGATCACGAATAAACGTGATGTTCACGTTTATTCCACATTCATCATGAAATAGACAAAATAGAGAAAATAGAGGAAAAATGTTGTTAATAAAAAATTTTTTTTTAATGCCATGAAAATTTCATCACATTAAACTTTATTTCATCACAAAAAAATTATTAAAACATGTTTACTTTGTTTCAGTAAACTTTATACTCTTTTTAATTCAGCTTTAACACTTTGAGCAAATTTCCGATCAAATCTGCAACAAAATTTATAATCCCATCCTTATAATACTCACAAATATATATAAATTAAATCTTTTGGTAAATCGCATGTCTTTATTAGCCCTTGCGAATCTTTTGTTGAATTACGTAGTGGAAAATGAAATAATTGGGCATTGATATAGAAATTGTCCAAGTTTTGTAAATATTATTTTGTAAGACAAATATTTCAGTAACAAGGTAAATACAACTGTCATAAATACTATACTTATTACAAGGTCTCACGACGGCACTGATCCGGCTACAATTTCAAATCGGGTATAATTGGAGACCCGGCTAAATTTGTTTCCGATTATGCATAACTTGAATCATCTAAGAACAGGCATTAAACGAATGCTATAATTAGAGATGAGCTTATTAAAATTTTTACACTTGGGCTCAAGACCCGGCTATATAAATGGAGATTTATGGTATACCAAATATTCTACGGGTTACGCGAATTTAGGAAAATTTGTGAAATTTATCTATTTAATGTAGGTATTAAATTTGTTTAGATAATTTGCACCTTAACTCAAGGTTATCTGCACGTATTATATGAAATATTTTACCCTATTTTAATCCTTCAAAATAACTTCATTCGTATAAAACGAGTACTAATTATATTACTGAACCCCGGAATCCTACATCAACAAATTTTATATTCTTAGTTCGACACAAATCTAAAAAAATTGTTCTTATACGTCGAAATTCTCCCAGATTAATAAATATTTAAGAGAATTTCGGTAAGAAGTTCATACCTGTTTTCAATAAAATTTAAAATATGCCGTCCTGACAAAGTTCGATATCACAGAAATGTCTATGGGATCTTTTGTTGAGTTAGGAACCGGAAAATGTAAAAAAAATTTGCATTGATATCGAAATCTTTCGATTCTTGTAAATATTATCTTTTGTTGAACAAATATTTCAGTAATAAAATGAAGATACTATCAATGCGATGGTTTCAAGTGTAACCCTCCGATTTGGCTGATATTTTAAAATTATGTGGTCGAAGTTAATACAAACAACGTTTCGTGAGGCAATTTGTGCGATTGTTGGAATTGCCCAAAATATTTGAGGTCAAAGTTGAAAAAATTGACAATTTTTACATTCGAAGGGAATTGGAGTTGGGTTTGTTTCTTTCATTTGGTAAAAATCGTCCATTTCTTAATTTTGACCTCAAATAAGCGCACAAACTCCCTAAGGAAACTTTTGCTTGTACTTACGCGGACCACATAATTTTAAAATTTCCGTTAAATAAGAGGGTTACACTTCACACCATGGCATTGTTATTGTTTGCTAAATATCTACGGATTTATAAAATTCGAAAGAAAACAATCTGATCATTGTTTTAGTTATGATAACTTTTCCGAATTACATCAAACGACTTTACAGATAACCAAATTTTAAAGAATATTCCAGACAGTTAAATATCTAGTTCAATAACATAACTCATAAACAAAATAAAAAATATCTAATAGGATACAAAAACACTGCTAGAAATCTGGTATAGTCAGACAGTATTGATTTCTCGGTGTTAAATATGGTACCGGTTGGTACCAAAATTATACGATACCTAAAGGTTTGCTATCAATATGGCAAAATTTTAATCTAGCCATTACCACATCGCATGGCCTTGGCCAATTTTACACAATAAATTTCCTGCAAACCACAAAGCAAGAAATCAAATTTGAGACCGGATAGGCATAACTAAATTTATTCATAGAAATTTCAGACTTTTTGACCAACTTTACAAAGTTACATAATATGTATTAATACTAACATAATATGGTACTCCACGTATTACGGACTGTAATTTACGGTTCCTAATTTTGATGCGATTTTGACAATAATGTAGTTTTCACATTTTCCAACTTTTCTTGCAAATCACATTCTGATTCCAACCAATTTTATCTAAGAACTTTATTTTACTCCGCGATCTGCTTGTAAATTGGAAACGGTGTCGAATTTATGTAAACTTGACAATTTTTTATGAATTTTAAGCTTCCACATTTCAAATTAAATTGAATTATGTAGAACCTTCAAACTATGTACACTCTAAACAAAGTTGTAGAAAAATTCTACAAGGTTGTGTAAAATTTTGTCCAAGGTTGGGTAAAAAACAGGATGACACAACCGTTGGTCAAATTTTACTCAACTTTGTTGAGTAATTTTTGCTCAACAAGTTGTGGAATTTTTACTCAACACGTTGTGGAATTTTTACTCAACACGTTGTGGAATTTTTACTCAACACGTTGTGGAATTTTTACTCAACACGTTGTGGAATTTTTACTCAACACGTTGTGGAATTTTTACTCAACAAGCAGTTAAAAATTGATCAATGAATGATTAAAATTTACTCTTTGGTTGATCAAAGGTTGCTTTTTATGCTGATTAAAACACATTCATTACCTTTTTAAAATTCATAATTTATTGTAATTGTACTCGTGTTACATTTTATAAATTCTACATAAGTACAAAACAATTAGTTTTCATAAAAATCATTGGATATTACTTAAAATTACTAAATACATGTACAATTAAAATTTTGAGGGATAATCTAACGAAACTCTAATCTAACTACTAACCTCTTCAGCTATTGTTGATTGTGAATAATTTAAATATGCGGCCAAGTGATGGAATTATTTCAGCAAACAAACAATCAGCACCGTTTACCGTCCAGCAACTTAACCACTTCACCCCTGAGAGACGAATATTTTCATACCTTTCACCCCTAGTAACGGCGAATTTTTTCTTCCCTTGACCCCGAAATTTTCACCTACTGCATAACGTTAATTACTGGGAGATGAATTGAAAAATGCTGTTCCCACCGGAATTATTCTGGACACGTTTTTATGAAAGTTGATGCGAATAACCATTTGGGCACGGATTATGAGTTGTAATTTGCCTTTGTGTATTTTTGCGAACCACTAATATTTATAGCCGAAAATAGCCAATACGCCAAATTTAAAAATGATTGCAATTAATGGAAAGTTACACAAACATTGATTAATACGTGCATAATAGTACATATATTCGCAAAAATCGATTATCGCGCCTCAAGGGCCCCAGAAGCCGATTTGGGTGGGAAAATTAAACATAGCAAATATCGCTTTCAATTCGTGACATCGGCTATAAATAATTTTGTGATTAGACTAAAATGTGTAAAAATTGCTTCTTGTACATCTAACATGCATAGAATTTACGCATACTTAGGGCGGGAAAACAAACGTTTTCCTACAGTGGCTTTAAATTGATAGCACTGGTAATGAATAATTATAGCATCAACCGTTCGAAACCATACTTTAGCGCATTTTGAATATAACTCAATTTTAACGGGAAAATTATATGCTACTTTCTAGGTAATCTCTTAATTTTCCCGCCCAACGAGATTTCATCGGCTACAGTGGTTAGTTTTCCCGCCAAAAATGTCGGTGGGGCGTTCTAAATCCGAGAAAAACAATTTCACTAATTTAATCTGAAAGCGCTGTTGAAATATGGGACAAAAATTCCATGCAACAGCAGTTTTCAAAACTAGGCGTGTTAGCTAGAAATAGCCAGTTGGCTATAAATTGTTTTTACCTCCCTTTATAATATTGGTTCCGAAGAGGCAATTCGTCTTCCCGCCCAAATGGCGGATTTTTGACTCATAACTATACTTGGAAGAACAATGCCCTAATTTTTTTTTCTGGATACGACACATAGTCGTATGCCGGTGGGAACGGAAAATACGCCACATAGTCGTTCCCGTTGTCAAGGGTCAATACGACACATCGTCGTATTTCGGAGCCAAGGGAACTTACGCCACATAGTCGTATTCGGTGTAAAGGTCAAATACGCCACATAGTCGTTATAGGGGCGAAGTGGTTAAAAAACTTTGTCGTCACCATCGTTCCTGTAAAAAAAATAAGCACAAATAAATATTTTAATTTATTAGAAAATACGACCAAATGTGCAAAAAAATAAACAAAAATCACTTTACCTTACATTTTTCCAGTCGTTGGGTCATTTTTTGGTAAATTTTGAGAAATGAAGAGTAAATTTGTTGCTGCTCCTTTTGTGACTTGCTGTAACCAACTGACGGCATGCAAGTGGCTGATAAATAGGCAGAGTTGATTTTACTCAACCCGTTGAGTAAAAATTAATCAACTTGTTGTTCATTTATCGCCCAACATTGATTAATTTTATATTTGATCAGCGAAAAAGTCAAATTTTGTTCAATGTTGAGTAAAACTTACTTTACACAACTTTATTGTGTAAATTTTACGCTTTAGGAGCATAAATTTTGTCCAACGTTGAACAAAATTTGATCAACTTCATTTTACTCAGCCAGCTTTGCTCAACTTTGTTTAGAGTGTGTAGCATAACAAACTTTGTAAATTTACAGAACTACATAAATTTCTAAAATTATCAATTATCGAAGAAATTTGAGTCAAAAATCCCTCAATTCTGATCTAATATAAAACCCACTTGGGAATTTCTTGACCTACGTACCTCAAAAAAAATCGATATCGATACCACATCCTATATGCAAGGCATAATTCCTACTTCCTAAAGTCTCCTAATTTGTGAGACTCTCCTCGATTTCATGGACATTTTACATGAAAAATGTGCATATTTATTTGGCTCTACTTTCCTCTAACCTTCAATTATATTTCACCTCTTTGTACTATAAACGAAATTGAGGATTTATTTCATTCCTCTCCCAAGTTTTTTATGTGTCTGAACTAATAACAATTATGAAGTGAAATGATGCAATTCAGTCGGATGTTTATGAACTGTGTGAAGTTGTGTAACATTATTATACTAATTAAACTAATTTTGCAAAATTATAGAAGTAATTCATCCAGTGTTTTTAGTAATATTGTAAAATCCGAAAATTCTGTAAACTTACGAACTTTTACAAACTTTTATATTTCTGAGGAAAACTACCTTCAAATTTTTGTGAACTTGCTCAGACCAAAGGGGTCTTTTGATTTTGGAAAAGTTTGTAAAATCGTTTTATAAAATTTACACATTTTTACAAAGTTATAATGACTGCGTGAATTGCCATAAAATCTTTACAATGTTTCAATGAATTTGTGTATCTAACTTGATTTTATTTTTTTATGTTCGTAAATTACGAATCGTAATATTTGAAAAGATTAGAAAAAAAATTGTGAGACTGATGATGAAAATACTGATAAATAGGTCCGATAAGATAATAATAAGTAGGTCCGATTTTCCCCCAAATTTGCAAAAGTATTTTCAAGTTTTACGTATTTATTTTTTATGTAACAAACCTATAATTTTTTTACCTTTTAAAATGATGAGAACTTTCGATTGATAATATTTTTCTGCAATAAAAATCACTAAAATTTATTTGATAAATAAAATCCATTTTTTAATATTTTTTAACTGATAGGTATTAACGTCAGGAAAACAAATTAAATCAATTAAGCCATTGGTTTGCAAAATTAGATGTCCTCATTCTCCTCCGTGAGTGTTTGTACAAATACGTTTACTCTAAATTATTCAGATATCCTTATTAGTATATTTTGCAAAATCGGTGAACAATTAGATTTATGCAAATGAGACACGGCCAAACTTTTACAAAATTTTACGAGTACATATTTTTAAGGAAAATTGACAATATTTGCTAATTTTGGGAAATTTTTTTCTTAGATTTCCAGGTTATTACTTTCCGAGTGATGATAAGTTCGACTCAATTTTATCTAAATTTTAGCACCTTAAAGTTTCATATAGTTTGTTGTACGCATCAAATCCGTAAGTTTTCAATAATTTCTTCAATAAAGATCACGAGGTTTTCTTTTTCGAATAAAATACAGTTTTAAGTGATAGTCATTAACGTCATAGGATGAAATATTCTGAAGGATTATTTTACGAAATAAAGTCAAAACTTCTTGTTTTTCAGAGTGTTGTATCAGTCGAGAAGTGTCAATTGATCACAAAGTTAATTAGTATGAAGTTTGCAAAAAACACAATTTTTCAATGAGCACGTTTAGCAGAGATATTTGCGTCCAAAGTGGAGAAAACACGCCCGAAAGTTGAAGAATTTTATACTTTCCACATTTACTGCGCCTTTTCTCCTCTTTGGATGCAAACATCTCCGCCAAACATTCCCATTGGGAGATCGTGTCTTTCGCAAATTTCATACTAATTAAATTTGTGATCGATTAAAACCAATTTATCAAAATCGGAGGGAATAAGCAGGGAATTGATGAAGGCATAAATCAAATTATAGCTTTAATTGGCAACAAATTAATAATAAAATATCGAAAAAATAACATTGGCAGAGCTTGTTTATTTTACAATTTCATTAGTAATTTTTTTCAGAATAACTGTATTTATCAAAAACCTTAAAAATTATGTAACTACACACAAATTCAAACTCAATCCGTCACCAACACCATAACCACATCTTTCCACACCAACGGATTAGCTAGTATTGCTAAATTGATTTTACCTCGTTAATCACTAATATTTAATAATCATAGAAAAATCACATTTTTTATTCATCAATAAACCTTGGCGATTTTACTTTCCTATAAAAAAATAATCAGCGTTAAAGCTTAACTTGCAACTTTGCCCACTCGTCGGAATATTTGAAAGTGTGAAAATTTGAAAATACGGGTCCACTGACAAAGTATATTCCCATTTTGACCATTTGCATTTTTGTGGTCAAAATCAAGTTGCAAAATTACCCTAAACTATTACAGATCGTAGGCCACTTTTTATTTTGTAAAGTAATTTTACAAAACTTTGAATCAATTCACGCAGTCATTTGTAACTTTGTAAAATCTGTAAATTCTGTAAAGTTACAAAGTTTTACAAAATTTTACAAACATTTCTGAGGAAAACGAGCTTTTAAATATTTCCAAGCTTGCTCAAGATCAAGGTATTTTTGTAAGAGTTTGTAAACTTATTTCACACAATTTTACCAAGTTCCTTAGGACTGCGTGAGTTGCCTTTTTACAAATATTACAAACATAAACTTTTGTGTGTAAAGTGTGCTAAACTTCAAGGCCGAAATAAATTTTTTAGGAAATGGATGATCAGTTTGTCAGTAGGTTTGTACATCCTGTCTTTTATAGAAAGCTATGCAAATTACTTTATTAAAATTAGCCAAATCCTAATTTGGACACTTTTAATGTAAGACTACCTAAAACACAGTGACTCAAAATCGTCACAATTAACAGATTTTGAGTAATTTCTCGAACTGGAAAGTGTAAAAATTTATGCACTGATATAAAAATTGTTTAATTTTCGTAAATATTATTTTTTTAAACTTGAAATCTTTCAGTGGAAAGCTGAATAGTCACTTATCTGTTTGCACATTTGTATCCATTTATGTACGCAGAATTTCTCTCAAAGTGCAACTAAAATATGTTTGCCCGCATTCACATTACGTCGTCATAAATTGGTGAATTTTTTGCGTATAAAGACGTTTTGCGTAAAATCAACAAGTTGACATTTTTAATATGGCAGAACTGATTTATTTTACAGAATCATTAGTAAACTTTACATTTATCAAAAACCTTAAAAATTATGTGACTACTTTAACATAAGTTCAAACCACAGATATGGAGAGACATAGATCCCCGATCTCAAATCACTCCAATATTAAAAACTTGGCAACATTTTTCAATGAAACTAAATACTGCTCCAGCTTCTGCAAACTGAGAAAGTGGGGTAAAGTGACAAAAAAGTCCACATGCGTTATACCCTAATTATACCCAAATTATACCCAAATCTTTCTCCATGCTGAGACGCTTTTTTCAATAGTTCCTCCATCTATGTCTCTCCATATCTGTGGTTCAAACTCCAACAACCACATCAAAACGTCCATCTTTTTATGTATACTAATTAGCTAGTTAATAATCCTAAATTGGTTTTACGACGTTAATGACTAACAATTAAAAATTATGAATTTTTTCATCTCTAGCGATTTTTAATTTATAGAAAAAAATATGAAGGATTTAAACTAAAATTAGAATCTAAGTGACTCTTCTGAATATTTGAAATAGTAAAAATTTAAGAAACTTGCAAAATACGGGTCCACTGACAAAATTTGGTCCCATTTTGACCCTTTGCATTTTCATGCACTTTCATAGATTTAATTTCTTAAAATAATTTTCAATTCACGTAGACCTTGGTAACATTACAAAATCCATAAATTCTCTGAACTTACGGACTTTTACAAAATTCTATACATATTTCTTAGGAAAATTAACTCATTTTTTTAGACTTGTTGAGATCAAGGGCGTCTCTTTATTTTGGGAGAGTTTGTCTTTATTAAGAGTTTGTAAAATTATTTTGCAAATTACCAATTATTGCGTGAATTCAATTCATGCAGGACTTATTAACCTTGTAAAATCGGCAAATTTACAAAATAAAAAGACACCCTTGATCTGAGTAAGTTCACAAAAATTTGTACGCAATTTTTCTCAGAATTACTTGCAAAATTTTGTAAAAGTTTACGAATTTTACAAAGTTACCAATGACTGTTTTTTATGTAGATTACAAGCATAAATTTCTCTGTGTATAAGGTGTATAAAATCAGTTTATTTCTATATTTCTATAACCGTCTGACTAAAATTTTAGTATAAAATTGTAAAAAAACATCGTTATTTTTCGCGTTAAGAGAGAACCGATCGGAGCGTCTGCTTCGTGTTGAGAATGACTTTGAAGAGGTCACACTCCATGAATCGGATCGTCAAGAGGGCTGTGATTAGCTGGATGGAGAAATAAATTTCCACGATGGGAAACGATGTGATCGAAGTGACAAGAAATGTCCACGTGGAGAGGAACACGTGGGCCAATTTTGGAAGGATTTTTGCCCGTATTAAGGGATGATCCATGTCACTTAAGGTTTGGTGGGGATCCAGCAGTCGCGACATTTTTGGGGCTGGAAATAAAATGAGAGGAGCATTTTAGTCAAAATATTTTCAAAATTTCCAATTTAGTAAAAAGAAACACAAATTATTGATACAAATCAATTCAAGCCGTGTAGAAAAGCATCTAAATTGTATTTCACGTTTTACAAATTCGAAATAAAACATTATCGGCGTACAAACCCAAAATGTAAAATTTGAAAAAACTTCACTACATTCGATTTTGAGGCAATATTCACGCAGTCCTTGGTAACTTTGCAAAATCCGTAAATAATTTTATAACTGTTAAAAATAAACGCCTTGGATCTGAGTAAGTTTACAAAAATTTTAAAGCTAATTTTTCTTTAAAATATTTGTAAAATTTTGTAAAAGTTTGCAAGTTTACAGAATTTAATGATTTTACCGGGTTACCAAGGACCGCGTGACTTGCCTCTATACAAAATTTAGAAACAAGTATTTCGAAAAAAGAATTCCCCGTTTTTTCACCCTATTTTGAGCGGTATGTGGTAAAAAGTGCATTTTTTGCTAACTTTTACCCACTGAGAGTTCCATATTGAACCTTTTTTTTCAAAATATATCCTTAATTTTTATTATAAATGAGGTTTATGACTTTAATGATTAAAACGATTTCATTCATACTAAATTGAAGGTCCAAAATTTGATATTAATTTCGTCTTGTATTTATTTCACGTACAATTTCCTTCTTTAAATTTCCAAGATTAAATCTAGACTTGTGAGAATTTAAGAAAAATGAAACTAGTCTTGAATGAAAAGAAATTTTTCCAATATTTTAAACGGAATTTTCAAAAATGTAGGCCAACCTTATAAAATTTAGGGTCAAGAGATTTAACTAATCTGGTATTAAGTCAGGGTAAAACGTGTTCTGCTTAAAACTCCATGCGTCGCAAAACTTGGGCAAATTTGAGTAGTCAGAAGGAAGAACCGACGAAAAATAAAATTCATAAAAATGGTCTCAATTTCATTACTGCGGGTGGCTTTCGTGGAGAATGTGATCGATTTTCTGGAGTGATCATTTCATTCCAAGGCTTCACAATTATTAAGGCAATTCACGCAGTCATTAGAACTTTGTAAAATCCGTAAATTTTGTAAAATAATTTTACAAATTTTTAGAAAATAGAAAGACGCCCTTGATCGGAGTAAGTTCACAAAAATTTGTCAGCTATGTAATTTTCCTTAGAAATATGTGCAAAATTTTGCAACTTTACAGAATTTACGGATTTTACAATGTTACCAATGCTTGCGTGAATTATATGGAACACGTGGTCAAAATTTGCATACAATCGATCACATGCCTTATGCGAGGTCCCTTATTGACAGTTAAGCTATAAACAAGTCAAGAAAGATATTTGCATTTCCTGGATTGGATTGGATTGAATTTGCCTACGTATTGACATAATTTCTGCGATCGAGATTAAGTAGGGTAAATAACCTCATTTTTATTCCAACGGTTATGTTGACACGAGCCTCGTGACAAATTTGTATGCTAAATTGAAAGAAATCAGTGAATGAAAAAAATCGAGACTGAAATTAAGGTCTTTTTTTCTAATGGAAATTTTTGAATTCATGACTGGAACCTGAGAGAAAAAATTTTGGAACCTGAGGAAATTTTATGATTTATTAAAGTTTTTAAAATTCATTAAAAGTCACTAAACTATTGCAAAATTGTACACAACCATAGTTTAAAATTATTAAAATTTCAAAATGCTTATAAATTAATTTCTAGTAATTTTAAAAATTATAAAATTATCAATATTTCATTCCAGTTTTGTGACTTACTAATATTTTGTTTCAAAATTCCTCAAAATTAATTTCGATTACAGGAAAGTTTTAGTTAGTGGAAAATGAGAAAACTTTTTACGTTTTCAATATTTCGAATCGTATCTGTCATTCATTATCAAATAGACATGGGTAGAAAGAAAAATTCGCAAAATTTTCGCGAAATTAGTAATTTCTGAATTTTTTTCCCTTACACAAAGTTGATTTCTTATTTAACGTAACTCACCTTAGATTTCTTTATCCTTATCGCGAAATATTGCTGCACAATTTCATCTACGGCACAATTCTTCTTGCTCAACGATAACCGTTCACTCTCATCTGGCGCAACAATGACAAAAAACCTCTTCTTTGACACACCACACACCTCAGAACAAAAAAAATTGACCAATGTTGAAGGGGAAGGTTAATTATGTACCCCTGCCTTGCGACACACACACACTTCAACCTATCCGGCCATCATCGCCATAAAAATTTTAGTGAAAGTGTGGTGTTATCCACTCAAGAAAAAACAATCCAATCCACTCCTCTTGGATTCGCGAATATGAAAAAAAACACAAGTAAATAGGCAAATATTAAATAGAAATTTCTTCACAGTTAACATTTCTGCAAGTGCAGTGCGAAATATTGGATTCTCGTCGCTACATTAACGACTTGTTTAAAGAGTGAGTGCTTGTATGTAAAATGTGGTAGTTTTGTGCTTGTACGTACACAAAATACTTGTTTTTTTAGTTAAGAATCACGTTTATATTGCAAGTTAAGCTAACTTTTGATGAGAGTGTGTTGTGCAGTGCAGAACAATTCAGCCATATATTTTATAACGACCACTGTTTTTTACTTACCATTATTTCTTATAGTTTTGTTTACAAGGGAGAATTTATAGGAATGAATTTTATGTAGGTAGGTATGAACCACGAGTGGATATTTGAGCTGTATGTGTATCTGCGAAGCTTGAATAGATGGATGGATATAAATTGAATGAGATGGAGATAAATGTATGCGAAAATTTTTATGCGAATGCGAATCTATTTGCATGTTTATTTAAGTACACTAGCGTATAGCCCGGCCAAGGCCGGGTTCTAGAGTTCCAGTGGGGGGTGTGCCCAAAGCGAAAAATCCGTCATACTATATTTTAAATAATTCCCAGTGGAGACTTTGTCATACTACATACATACATCAGACTGAGGGTTTGCCCAAGTCATACAGCATTTTAATTAACCTGGTCACAGTAAAATTTGATTCCCCCCTGTGGGAGTAGTTGAATAGCTAATTACTTAAATTCCCGTCGCGTGGGAGTAACTGCATAGCTAACTATTTAAATTCCCACGCTTCACGCTCCCGTTAAGTTCCATAAACCCCGTTAACTTCTACAATTAACGCCAAGCTATTGACGGATTCGGATTCAGCGTCAAAAATACATTCGAATTGATATGCGACATCACGAATAAGCCAGATTTGGACACCAAGGTCACGGCGAGGTCACGGGGGCCTCGCAGGTCAAAACCATTGACGGCGTTGGATTCAGCGTCAAAAATACATTCGAATTGACATGCCACTCGCTGTGGGTAGAGTTTCTCAAACTAAAATAATTAATTAATAGTGTTTATCACGATCACTTATCATGATAACCACTATTGATGAGTGATGTATGTATGTGGGGTGTACATGTTCATGTATTCATTTATTCATGCAGTGCAGTGCATGCATGCAGTGGTTGCTCCGCTTCCTTCTTTGTCTACTGTATGGGGCAATTTGCATTGCGAAGACGGACCCAGGGACCCAGGGATCATACTAACACTTTATTAGAGTAGATAGTAGTTTATTTTTTCTTGTTTGCCAATTAATAGTGTGAGTCATGTTGTAAATATCTATCTAAATATTTGTAAGTAAATGATGGATGGATGAGAGTGCAGAATGATAAAATGGGATGCTAAGCTTTATAATCTGTAAATAGATCTCAAGGACTGAATTGATGGAATGGAGCTCTGGAGAGTAATTGTATTTATGTAAAAATTGGATAAAAATTGAAGGAATTGCGAAATTTATGGCGAAATCAAACTGGTTGCAAAAATTTCTGGAGCGTTCTGGTTCAGAATTTTTGAAAATTTGAGATTTTCGAAATTTCGACGGGGAACGAGGATTTGAACGAAATTATAATTTTGATACGTATATAAATATCTTGTCGATTAACATATTTATGAAATTATTTTACATTTATTTTATATGTTTTGATGCTAAAGGCAATAAATTTAATTAATTAATGTATATTTGCGCATGGAATTTTAGGAGAATAAACAAAAGTTCAAAAATATTTATGTCATGGAGTATCTTAAAGTGAGCTCCTTAGTTATAATTTTCCCATATTTTGCTCAACAAATATATGGGAACAAAGGTATTTATCTTTAAGTTTGAATTACATAAACCGAGAAAAATATTTACCCACGTTAAATGGTGCGATTTTTGAGTTTGAATTGTACTGTAATTAAATATGACTCACTTTTTATAAACACGCTACGTTTGTTGTCTTATGTAAATTGTAAATTTAGCAAACTTTGTATACATATATGTAAAAGTTTTTAGAGGTGTTTAAAGCCTATATTGTTGGGGGTTAAATTTAATTTTGCGCATTTTATAAAATTTACGTGATTTATACCCTTACAAAGTTGCACGTTACTTTGAAGCTTAAATTTTTGAGGTTTACACAAACATGTGATAACATTTCATGGCATGAATAATGCCATGAAATGAAATACATATAAGTGTAAGACACGTAAATGTAATTTTTTAATATTGTAAAAATTGTCAAGATTGGAAGTCCGTAATCAGTTTTACAGAATTTTAAAATAAATCGCTTAAATAAAATTAGGTCAAATAATAATTCGTTAATTAGTTGGTTACAATTGCAATGTATGTAGGATAAAGATAAAAGGCAAATAATTATGCGACATTTTTTGCGCAATTCATAGAATAATAAATTTTGCCAAATTTGCATGCAAACATCTGAACAAATTGTTTCATGCTTGATCTTCTCATTTAGAAATGAATTGATGTGAAGATTAACCGTTTTATGAATTAGTAATATTTAAATATTTAGCATTTTTATACAGAACTAAAATGTTTGATTTCGCATAAGAAATTAATATTTATAAAAGTTGGGTAACTTCGATACCAAAAATGAACTTTGTACTTTAGTGAGTTGTTAAATGGGGGAAAAGATTTTATCTCAGGTCAGAAAGAGTAAACTAAAAAGTTTTTAAGAACATTTGCAAATAGTTGGCAAATTTTCAAATCGCAAATTCTCAATAATAATTTCGGAAAACTTTTTGAAAACGTAACCAAACTAAAATATTGAACGTTTGTGTGTAACTACAAGAACTTGTCATTGAAATGTTTGACTTCGTTTAAGAACTATAAAAGTTGGACAATTTCGATATCAAAATTAATCTTTTTTTTTTTTACATTAGTATGTTTTTAATCGAGAGGAAGATGTGTATTAATAGGTCGGTGTTAAATTTTTACCATATCCGTAGCAACTTTCGGTATCGTTTTAACACCAAGGGGTTGCAAGTTTAATACAGATAAAACAATACCTGCCTGACTATACCAGGCTTCCAACAGTGTGTAAAATTTGCATGGTTCGTAAATTGATGATGCGTTTTAAAGATTCTACAATTTTGATAAAATTTTAGCATTTACAAATATTTATACAGTTACAAAAACCAATTACAAATCTTCATAAAAATGCAATATTTACGTAGGAAAATATGTATTTAGGAAAATAACAAATAAATCTGTACATATGTAACTCGTGACTCTCTGCGAGGATGAGGAAATGGGTTCCATTTTTGCGAAAACTGCATTTAATTTGTGTACTGTTCCCAAGTGTTTTTCGCTACTTTTGTACATATTTTTCTGATACGTGGGAATTGAATTGTAGTTACGTTTCCTTTCCTGTTTTAAGTATTTATTGGGATACCGTGCACAAAGCATGTGCTCGATTTTAGAGGGGTTCACGTAGGCTAAAATTCTCCCAAAAATCCGCATATCGCTTCTCCACGGTCCCAGCCTGCGATTAGACACACTTCAACTTCCTGGATGCACAGTTTAGTTAACTGATTACTAATTATGTCGTTAAATAAAGTGGATGCAATTTTAGATTTTGAAATGTGGTAAGTATTAGCATAAATATGTACACTTCAAAACTTCAATAGTTATCAGTATACTTAAAGATTGGTAATTAAATATGTCGCTAAAATGGATGCAAGTTAAGTGCAATTTGCAATTTCAGATTTTGAAGTGTGATAAGCAAAGTAAAAAATGAGCACTTTTCAGTTTCAACTTATCACACTTGGAAATGCACTTGACCCATATTTTTGTAATCGGGTAAAATATGTACACTCTTAAAATTTGAGAGTTAATTTTATCCATGTAACGAATACACTCTTAGAAAACTGGTATTAAATCATTACCAGTACGGAGAATATAAATATCTGTACCTATTTATCTGGACCGATTTAGTTTGCAAGTTATGCATTAAATATGTATATCCGTGATGAAAATGGTCATCATTTGCATAAATCTAATTTTTCACCGATTTTGCAAAATATGCTAAAAAGGGGAATAATTTTTTGTAAAAAAAGTCACGTAATTTACGTGACGTAAACGCCAAACAACGAAGTCACCTATGCATATCTTTTTACAAAGTATTAGCTTAATTGATCTAATTTCCTTTCCTGACGTTGATACCTCTCAGTTAGAAAATAATAAAAATGGATTTTATTCATAAAATACTAAATCCTAAAGATTTCTATTGCAGAATAATATTATCATTTACAAGTTGTCGTTATTAAAAATGATTAAAAAGTCACGGATTTGCATACAAATAAAAATCAATGAAAATAAATTTTAAAAGCACTTACTTTCATTTACAAAAAATAAAAAAAAATGGATTAGTAAATCCTACTTGTTTTTTACAGAAAACTATCACCATTTAAAATCTATCATTAATAAATATAAAATACATATAGATGAAGCTTATTGTTAGAAGTACTTTAAAAGTTAGACAAAGTTGAGTCAAACTTATTAAATACTTATCACTCCGAAAGTAGGAACCTAGTATTCTCACAATTCTCACAATTTTTTCCAACCTTGCAAAGATTCGTAAATTACGAACATAAATATAAAATCAAGCTAAAAAATCAAAACATTTGGAAAGACATTAAAGTAATTTTGACAAATAACTCAGCCGATTTATTTTACAAAATTTGTAAGAAGTTTTAATTTATCAATAATCAAAATTGTAGATCGCATCATTTGCATAAATCTAATTTTTCACGGATTTTGCAGAATATGCTAACAAAAGGCGCGTGGATACTTGAAATGTAAAATCTCAGCTTATGCAACACTCCGAAAATCAAGTCGCGCTATGTTATCTTGCTTTATAACAGTTTGTTTAGTTAAACCAATTTAATTCCATGACGTTGATGTTTATCAATAAAATAAATATATAAAATGGATTGATAAATCCTAGTAATTTTTTCTGAAAAAAATTCTTACTAAAAAGTTGTCATTATTAATTAAATAAAACGGGTTAAACAGTTACGAATTTGTAGAATACAAAATAAATATATGAATTTTGAAGGTACTTTAATTTAGACAAAAGGAAGTCGAATTTATTCAATATCACTCTGAAAGCTGGTACCCTCACAAATTTTTTTTGCCAACCTTGCGAAAATTACGATTCGTAATTTACAAACATAAAAATAAAATCCAGTTACAAAAATTCATTGAAACATTGAAAATGTATT